CTGTAACTCCAGTTGGCCTGAAACTCTATGTAGAGACCAGGCTGACCTTGAACTCACAGAGTTCTGCCTGCCTCTGCCTCCCGAGTGCTGGGATTAAAGTCATGGGACACCACACCTGGCAGGAAGGTGTCTTTAATAAATCATGGTGAGGTACATTTACATTTTTATTTTGGTTTATGCTTGCATTATACTCGAGTTATGGTGATTGAGCACTGTGTCATGAGCATAATCTGAGGTAGCACAGCCAGCATTCTGCCCTACCCCTTACACCTTATGATCTGGTGCATAATAACAGAGTGTATCTGGAATATAATAAGTTTTCAAAATATGAGTTGTCAGAAAACAGGTTTTGCCTTATTTTTTATTTATTATTTTTTAATTTTTTTATGTGCATGAGTGTATTGCTTGCATGTGTGTAAGTGTACCCATGTCGCACAGTGCTCTCGGAGGTCAGAAGGCTTCCGATTCTCCCAGAACTGGAGTCATGAACAGTTGTTAGCCGCCATGTGGTCCTGGGAATCAAACCCAGGTCCTCTGCAAGAGCAGTCAGAGCTATCTTTCCAGGCCCTCCTTATTTATTTTTTTAAAAATATTTTATTTATTATTTTTATTTTATGTGTATGAGTGTATTGCCTGCATGTGTGTAAGTGCACCCATGTCCTGCAATGCCCAGGGAGATCAGAAGAAGGCATTGGATCCCCCTGGAATTGGAATTACGGGTGGTTGTTAGCTGCCACGTGGGTGCTGGGAATTGAACCCAAGTCCTTTGTAAGAGCAGTCAGTGCTCTTAACCGCTGAGCCATCTCTCCAGCCCCCAGAAAAGATTTTAATATACAAATATATAGAAAATTAAAGTTCATTTTCACATCTCCTGTACTCTGTCTCTCCACCTCTGATGTAACCCCAATAAATTTATTTCCTTCCAGCCCCCCTCATGTGTCTGTGCACATATGTGCACATATGCATGTGGAGGCCAGAAGTCAACATTGAGTGCCTTCCTCTGTTACTCTCTATCTTAATTGTATTACTGTATTTTTTATTATTTTTATTTTATGTGTATGAGTGTATTGTCTGCATGTATGTGAGTGCATCCGTGTCATGCAATGCCGCAGAGTTCAGAAGAGGGCTTCGGATTCCCCTGGAACTGGAGTTAAGGACGGGTAATAGCCGCCATGTGGGTGCTAGAAATCGAACCTGGGTCCTCTGCAAGAGCAGTCAGTGCTCTTAACCACTGAGCCATCTCGCCAGCCCCTGTATTACTGTATTTTTGACAATTTCATATTCATATTATGTATTTTGATCATATTTGCCCCCGTGGCCTTCTCTTCTCCCCCTCCTTCTCCAATGGAACCTTTCTTCTCAACTAGCCTCCTTCTACTTTCATGTCCTTTTTCCTGACCTGTAGAGTTTAATCAGTGTTGCTTGCATGTGCATGGGTAGGGGGTTATTTCCTGGAGCATGGTCAGCTTACCATGGTAAGCTTATTTACTGAAGAAAGGCTCTCCTTCACCTCATTTTTCTGGGATGGGATCTCTCACTGAACTTAGAATTCACCAGTTGACTAGGTTGGCTGGCCAGTGAGCTCCAGGGATTCTCCTGCTCCCTTCATTCCCAGTGCTGGATATAGATGGGGGTGAAGTGCATGATTTTTACATGGGTGCTGGGGATCTGAAATCAGGTTCCCATATTTGCAAGGCAAGTACTTTCCTGACAGAACCGTCTCCCCAGCTCCTCCTTCTAGGTCTTTTTCAATGCTTAAGTATATCATGTCCACCATATCTGGAAATAGAAGTGATGTGTAATATATGATTTATTGACATTATAAGATATGATAAAATATTATCTACTTTTCTGACTTTAAGACCAACCTGAATATATTGAATATACTTTTGAAACATATATAAATGGGTCCATATATAATCTATGGAATTTACTTTTTTAATTTAACCATATGACTTGAA